AGACACACTGGCCTAGTCTCACCCCGGAGGACGAAGAGACCCAGACTCCGAGGAGTCACTGGCTTGTCCCAGGCTCTGTGGGGAAGCTGGGCTCTAGTGCTCTTTCCACTCTGCTCTGCAGCCTGCCTCAGTCAGCCAAGAGTCAGGTCATAATACAAGTCAGGAGAGATTGATTCCCGCTAGTGCGAGGGCAGGAAAAAATGGAGAAGCAAGGATGGAGAGGCTTTCAATAGATGAGACGGGGGTTTGGGCATTCCGAGAGGGGAAGGGAAGGCATTCCGAGAGGCAGTAACAGCTTCAGCAGAGGCCCTGCCCGAGGTGGAAAAGTGCAGGACGTGCCCAGGGAAAAGCCGGCCCACTAAGCCCACCTCTTGTCCCCACAGTCCAGGTGGAGGCCGCAGAGGGCCCAGGGCGAGCAGGGGCAGCAATGGTTGGTCCTGACGGTGGCTGAGCCCCCAGCCCCTGGAATATGCAGCCCGGGGGAGCCCCAGGCAGCGGCGAGGACGCGGTGGCGGCGCGGGAGGGGAGGCATGGTCTCCACCTACCGGGTGGCCGTGCTGGGGGCGCGAGGCGTGGGGAAGAGTGCCATCGTGCGCCAGTTCCTGTACAACGAGTTCAGCGAGGTCTGCGTGCCCACCACCGCCCGCCGCCTCTACCTACCTGCCGTCGTTATGAACGGCCACGTGCACGACCTCCAGATCCTCGACTTCCCGCCCATCAGCGCCTTCCCTGTCAACACACTGCAGGTAGGAGGGTCCACAGGGACAGCGGGGCGGGGCGTGGGGCAATGGAGAGGTGTGGAAGAGGCTGGACTCCAGCCCTCTCCAGGCTCTGACCCTGTTGCCAGGCCTCCACCACTGGCTTTGAGAGCTCTGCGCTGCACCATGGCCCAGACCAAGAATCCATTCATTTGTGCACTAGTTAATTCAACGAATATTTGATGAGCGTTTAATTTGTGCCAGGCCTTGTGGTGGGCACTGGGGTAGAATGATATGTAGAAGGGACAGCAGAAGAAAATGTCAGGACCTGGGAAAAGTGTGTTCTCAGAGATAGGTCTCTTGTCCAAAAGCCTTTTCTCTTAAGTGACGCTCTGTCCCTGATTTCAGGACTGGCCCACTGGGCACCCTTCCTGTGTCAGATTCAGATGCTCCCAGTGCCCTGGCTTACAGTGCTCCTTCCCCAAGCCTGCAGGACCAGGTCCTCCTTCTTCTCTCTAACTCTGGCTTGGGAGGGAGTGGGTGCAGGGGGAAGCTGAGCCCTAAGACACGTTTGCTCGCTGAAGGCAGCCCCTAACCAGTGTGCAGAGGTTTCGCCCAGAAGGATAGGCAGAGTGGTGGAGGTAGGAAGGCAAGGGCCACAGCTTGGTCAGTAGTAATTGTGCAAATACAGCAACCTCTCAGGCAGGGCTAGGGCTGGTGGCTGGCGAGGGCCTCAGGCTCAGCACTGTCTCAGCAACCCCTGGGCAGGAGGGCCTTGGCCTAGCCTCAGAGACACTTGTTTCTTCCAACTCAGGTGCAGGAGGTCAGCACCAAAGACAAAACCGTGATTCACACATCTACGCCTTGAAAACAGTGAGGTCAGGGCAGTGGGTCTGAGGGTCAGGGTCTTCTAATTCCCATCCAAAGGAGATTTTAACAGTAACCTGAACAGATACACAGATCTTGTTCCAGTCCTGCATTTTGTGTATTTTGAGCTTTGTGTGTTTTTCACATTTTGTCGTGTATTTATTTTTAGTTTTAATTTAATTTCAGTTTCAGCACAGGTAACAATAGAAAAGTTCAAACGTGGTAAAAAGGTACACCCAGAGGAATCTCAGTCTTACCCTGATTCTTGCCCCACTCTTTATAGCCATTCTCATTTTTTTAAACTCATACTTCCAGTGTTTCTTTAAACAAATAAAATGTATTTTTATTCCACTCCTTTTCTTCCATTAAAAAAAAATAATAAAATGTTCTGTACCTTGTTTTTTTGACTGAACATTATAACTTGGAGATCTTTCCATGTCAGTATCTAGTTGTCTTCATTCTTTTCCCACAAATGTGCTGTATTCCGCTGGGGAGACGTACTATGGAGTCCCCTCTTATTGGACAAGTGGGTTGTTTCCAGTCTTTTACTGTTTCAAATAATGCCACAATGAGTAGCCTTGTACGTAGTCTTTTTGTACAAAGGGAACCATATCTGTGGGATGGATTTCTGGAAATGACATTGCTTATATCAAAGCGCAAATGCAACCGGAGTTTGGAAGGTGTCAGAATCCCCTCCCCTTCTATAAAGCGGCACATTTTGTGCTCTTGCGAGCAGTGCACATGAGCGCTGTTTCCCCACAGCCTTGCCGTTAGAGTGTATTGTCAAACTTTAGGATTTTTGACAATCTGATAGATGATATATGATAGTCTCGGTGTAGTTTTTATTCGCATCTCTGATCATAAGTGAGGCCGAGAGCATCTTTTTATATGTTTAAGGGCCTTTGTATTTTTTTTTTCTGACAGTTATTAATGACCTATGCCTATCTTTCTATTGGATTGCTGACCTTTTTCTTCTTGATTGACCCTGAGTTTTGGATTCCCAAGGACATCGAAGACTTCACTCCCGAAGCACAGATAAGAGAGTTTGAGCAGCAAAGTCCTAAGAGGGGACCCAGGAAGTCTCAAAGATCAAATATAAAACAAAAGAATCTTGATAGCACCATCTGAAAATAAAAATATATTATTTCCCAATGCCAGGTGAAACCCAGACCAGGAGAGTAGGGTTTCCTTGGTCAGAGGCTCAGTTGTTCCTTCTGCAGACCCCTCTCCTATCAAAGAAGGAAGCTGAGCTTAGAAGGTGTATGCAACCCACCAAAGGAATGAGCAGCAAATGCATGGTTGAGACCCAGGAGGCTGAACCTCCCTCAGCTCCTCTGTCCTTGGAACTAGACTCAGTTTCCATTGCTCCTTCTTTGTCTTGACACAGCCCCAAGATAGTCCTTTACAATCTGGGACCCTGCACAGAACGAGCTGGAAGGAAAGCTGAGCTTTCTTGCTTCCTCCTTTCAATCATGGGCGAAGGGACAAGCCAGCCAACCGGGAGCCTTCCTCCTCTTCCTTTTTGAAGCCCCCAGAGAGGAGTTGGTGGGAGGCAGCCTAGAGGCCCCCTTGAGATGGCATGTTGTGGGAGACATGGGGCTGTCACCCTTGAAGGCTGGCAGTCGTTCCCTCTCCACGGCACAGAGCTGGAAGAGGGTGGGAGCCTCTCTGTCTGTTTCCCCATCCCTCCCACTTCCCACCGATCTTCGCTCCTTGTGTGTGATGGGGCAGGAACCATATACACATGTGAGTCCCAAGGAGGTTACTGTGTCCAGCGAAATGGAATCTTCCCTGGCCTGAGAAGCCAGTTAATGGTTTCCTACAGTTTTAGATATGTCCTCAGCATCTTCCCCCTGCACCAAAGTTAAAACTCAGCACAAAGAAAAGATGCCACATCATCTCCCCGGGGGAAATCCACTGCAGCAGCTTCTAAGCCTTTGAGTTGGGAAGTGCTTTTCTGGCGTCAGACTTAACTCTCTACCACTGCCACCGAAGTCTTTTCCCTTTCGTTCCTTCTCTGAGGTGGAGAACCAGCTGTAGTCCTCCTTCATGCCCGGTCCCTGCCCTGGCTCAACTCACAAGCTGGCAAAGGAGACATGCTTACACCTCCTGCTCATCTTTTGACCTGGTCCCTCAAGAGAAGACCCTGGTTCCCCTTGTTCTTGAAGGCCTCTGCCTCCCCCAACTTCAGGGACTCACTTCTTTCCACACACTGGCTGCCTTCAAATGCTCTTGCAGTTACCATCTGCTGGCAAGTTAATTAGCTAATTAATTCTTAAGGAACCTTCTCTTTAGTGCATTCAGCCTTTCCAGGGGTCTATTCATCTTTAGCTACAGCTAAAGAATTTGCCACAAGCATTCAGGTAGTTCCATTTCCCTGGAGCTGTCCTGGGGCCCTGTTCTACTTCAGCCCCCATTTTGCATCCAGTTTCAGTCTTTTTCTCCTCAAGCCTTCTCTTTCTCAGCCCTAGGGCAGGGTGGAACATACAGAAGGGGCACATCAGGTAGCAGTCTAAGGGCAGTGTTACAGGCAGGAGTCGTAGTGATCTCAGCATAGACCAGATGGGGTTCAGAACCATGGAGAGCTCACCAGGTTAGGAAGGACAGTTAAGGAGCCTGCTAGGAGCCAACCCAATGCAAGGAGAACGTATGTAAAAATGAGGCAGGTCTGACTCTGGCCCTCTCAAGAGCTCACAGCAGAAGTGGGGAGCTGGTGATGGAAACAGCTCTAACCAAGGTATAATCACAGGAGATGAAGGGAATAGTCCCCTGCTTGCAGGAAGGCCTCTTGGAGGAGGAGGCATTTGCACTGAGTCTTGTAAGATAGGATTTCAACAGGTCTAGGCTTTTAGAGGCACTTAATATATGTACTCGAACAAAGATATATAGGATGGATGGATTGGGGGACAAAATGAGATAAGGAAGAACTCATCTCTAGATGTTCACAGGACAGTGCAATGGCCCTGGAGGTCAGACAGTGTGATCTGCCCTATCCTGGCTTGGGGATGGGGAAGCCACAGCACTGAGCTCCTCCATTTTGCCCTGGACTTGGCCTCCTGGGAATGGGTGGGTGTGAAAGACTTGGGTTGCAGTGGCAGGGGAGTGTGCTGTTAGTCTATGGCTGGAGGTGGCTGGAGGCAAAGGGAGCCCTTATGGCTGCTCTGACCTTGGCACTGACTGGGGTTGTTGCAGGAGTGGGCAGATGCCTGCTGCAGGGGACTCCGGAGTGTCCACGCCTACATCCTGGTCTACGACATCTGCTGCTTTGACAGCTTTGAGTACGTCAAGACCATCCGCCAGCAGATCCTAGAGACAAGGTGAGGGCCTGGGATACAGTCCATTGCCACCTCAGTGGATGTCCCAGTGCTAGCTAGTTCCCATGAAAAGGGTGCAGTGGGGGGATACCGATAAGTACCCTCTGGTTCTCCCACATACACTCAAACACGCATACACAACATTTTTCTGTCCCCATTTCTGTTAACTAATTTTAGGACCTATGAGGTGGCTAAGTCTAGTACATTGGTTAAGAGCAGGGTTTCCGAGAACAAGACTGTCAGGGCTACTCAGCTGCATGACTTTATTTTGTTTATTATTATTATTATTTTTTTTAATCCCCACCCCCACCCCTGACCTATCGATGGATGCCGTCTCCCCTTAAGAACTGGATCTCTGAAGGCGGGCATTTCCTCCCACGCGCTTGTGCTGGCTGTTCACCCAGGGCCTGGCTCACCCAGGGTATGGGCGGTGGCTCTGCTGGGGCTGGAGCCCAGGACCTTCTGGGACCTTCTGCGTGTAAAGCAGACGTGCTAACCATTACTCTGTGGAACCACCCCTGCATGACTTTAGACCAGTAAATGTGTAAGCCTCAGGTTCTTCTATAAAATGGAGATAACAATAGTACCCACCTTTTGGATCATGCGGATTAGAGGCTATACCTCTAGAGTTTAGCGCTGCACCTGAACAGATGTATGTTAGTACTATTATTGACCAGGCACAACCTGCCGTCATTGAAGTCCAGTGATTGTGAGACTGGCAGAGTTCTGAGATTCCCACCTCACTCCACAGGGTGATCGGCACCTCGGAGACGCCCATCATCATCGTGGGCAATAAGCGAGATCTGCAGCGCGGACGCGTGATCCCACGCTGGAACGTGTCACACCTGGTGCGCAAAACCTGGAAGTGTGGCTACGTGGAGTGCTCGGCCAAGTACAACTGGCATATCCTGCTGCTCTTCAGCGAGCTGCTCAAGAGTGTTGGCTGCGCCCGCTGCAAGCACGTGCACGCCGCCCTGCGCTTCCAGGGCGCGCTGCGCCGCAACCGCTGCGCCATCATGTGACACGCGCCCGCTCCGCCCGCCCTGCCCGCCCCAAGGGCTGGCTGCAGCCCCGAAGGCCCCCAACGGCTTTCCCACAGGACTGCGGGGCTTGAGCCGGGAGCGGCAGCAATATAACTGTGATGGTCCGGGCTTGAAACGTCCCCGCAGCCACCCACCTACGTGAGAGGCAGAGGGCTAGAGGGAGCCTCCCCATAAATGCCCATTCCGCCCCTGTCTCCTGCATCTGTCTTCCTGGGACGGCCGCCTTTTAGTGCTGTAGTTAGTGCAGTACCCGGCCCGGCCCCAAGAGGCGCCATAGCCTTTTGGGATTGGGGGTGAGCGTGAGGAATGGAGGGTGGGGGTGGGGAGGTGCTGCCTTGGCTGGGCCCCACCCATCTTCTCCGGAGTGCGTCTGTCATTGCGCCATGTCTTCCTTTCCCTTGTCCATATGTCTGCCCACCTGTCTGTAGGTCCTTAGCTGTCTTTTCCACCCTCAGGTCCCCCTCCCTGCCCCTAGCTCCGTTCACAGGGCTCTCATTTCGTCCATCCCCTTGTCGGAAATCCAGGCAGCTTCTTTGCGAGGCCAGCCTTCTGACTGTCAGCACCACCGGCACAGGACAGAGAGATGCGGGTGGCCCAAGGACCACAATTGGGTCCAAGGGTTGAGGTCCCAGATCTGTCAGGGGGAGAAGGCTGAGGTCTCCCCACTCCAGGGAGACCTCCCCACCCAGCAGCCCCTAGAGACACAACAACCTACCTTCCAGCCTTAACTAGATGGTCCGTCCCTGCCGGGTGCCCCTCACCCCCTTCCTGACCCCGAAGCCAGATCACCCCCTGGGTTAAAACTTTTTTTCTTGACAGTGTGGAAAGGGAGTCCCCCAAATTTATATATTTATTTCCATGATGCCAGGTTCCATCCCTCTATTCCTTCCTGCATTGGGTGGTCTGCCAGACTGGGAGATACTGGTTTTGAGAAGCTGTGGTGAGCAGGCTGTTTTCCGGGGTGGAGGTCGGGGGGTCAGGTTGTGCCAATGAAGAGACTCTCTCCCCATTCCACCCCAATATGATGCTCCAGACTCTGCCTGCTCGAAACTCAGATTATCCTGATTGGTCTGGGGGAAGGATAGAGCCAGAAAAAGAATTATGGGGACCCCTGTGCTTGGGGAAGATATGCCCACATCCCCACCCCCAGATGGATGCCCTCAGGATCTATGCCTCTTTGTCTCCAAACCAGTTGACCCTATACCCTGACTCACTCCACCCCATTTTCTCCGGCTACCTGGCCGGATTTCTACCTCTTGTCACTGGAGCTGATCACTGTCAGTTTTGTACCGATTTAGAAATAACAAAAATAATGAAGTACCGGGAGCCGCCTAAGGAATTCCTGGAGGACTTGGACAGCAAAAGAAATGCTATATGTCCCCTGCCCCCTGGCCGAGTCCTCCTTGAGGCTGAGCCCTCAGCCCTGGTCTAGTAAGAGGAGAACAAGGTCCCTTGTCAGAAGAGGGGCAGATAGAACAACCCAGCCTCGACCTAGCCGAGCTACATTGTATAGACCAGGTAATCAGGTGGCCCAGAGCATGATGGAGAGGAGTCTGGGGGAGGGGTTGTGGGTGAGGAGTTTATTGTCCAGATCGAGTGAGAGAAAAGCTATGAATCCCCCAGCTGATTCCCTCTCCACCCACCAGGGTAGCTCAGCCCTACAGTGACTGCCCTGACCTCGGGCAGTCCAGTATTCCTGGGTTATAGTCCCTGCTGTGCTGCATGACTTTGGGCAAGTAACCTGCCTGCCCTCTCTGAGCCTCCCTCTGAAACAGAGGAGGTGGCTCCCCTTCCCCACACTGTGGTTGGGAGGGTAAGGAAGAGGGCCTTCCCCCTTCATCCCCTGCATCCTGCTCCTTGGGTCACCAAGGAGACAGGGTCAGGGATGGCAGCATCTCACCTGCCCCATCGCCATCACCACCCCCTCCAGCTCTGAGGCACCTGAGGTGGGGGTAGGGGACCCAGGCCTCTGGCTGCCCCTGTGGGAGCCATAGGAATGTATTGCCTGGCTGGCCCTCCTCACCCCCTCCGCTTCACCCCAGGTCTTTGATTTCTATTTTCTCCACCCCTATTCTGAGTCTCCGTCCTCCTCCCTGCCTCCCCCCACCCACCCAGGGTTTCCCACCACAGGGTCTGGAAGTGTGTGTGACACCCATTGCGCTGTGATCGGAAGTCAGATTAAAAATCAGGGAGTGTTTTCCCTCGTTTCTGTACCACAGTGTCGGCTCAGTTCCTACAGTGGGAGGGAAGGGGCTTCCTATAGGGTCTGCTGAGCTCTGCCAGGTAAGGAGGGTGGGGGTGATGAGGTGGCCGAGTCCCAAAACCCAAGTAAACCAGAAGAACTAAGGGGAAGAGTTTGGGACTCAACTCCCCACCTACCCTTGAACCCTCCCACTGATCAAAACCATCCAGAGAGGGAGCATGACATCTCTCTCTGCCACTCTCTCAAGCAAACTTTCATAACTGGACTCAATCCCTGCTTCTGCTTGTTTTTGTCCCTGTTGCTGCTGAGCCTCTGTGGCCTCTCTGTCATAACTTCATGGGTGTAGATGTGTTAACACTCTCATCCATCCCTCTTGACTCTGGTCTTAGTTCCCAAACCCCAGAGCAAAGCTTTGAAGTCCTGCAGGAACCTGTGTAGGGTGGCCCTTTGTCCCTGTCCATGGTGCTGATGCACCAGCTGCTTCCAGGAGAAACAGGCCGTCTGGGAAAGGTCTGCTGAAACTCAGGAGAGGAAGACTCCTTTACCCCCAGCTCCAACACTTCGTTTCCTTCCCCTCCCACTGTTTGAGGCTCCGTCTTCCTGCACCACCACAGTGCTACAGAGAGGGACTCAAGAGCTGGGGGCTCAAGGACAGACCCACATGTGTTTAATAAATAATAAAGAGTTGTGGGAATGGTGGGCATAGCCAGAGGACAGGAGTTTGGGGAGCTAAAGTTGGAGAGGGTGATAAGATATAGGGTGTCCCCACAACTCCTATCCTAACTCGAGTAGGAATGGGAGTGATGGGTTGCCCCTTTGCTCAACCAGGTAGAATGAGTCTATATTTGTCTTCTGACCCATCCTGGTCAAGACCCTGAATTGAGGAGAGGAACCTTTTCTTCTGTTTCTGCAGATGCGATTCCAATGGATACATGCGTATTTTTTTCACTTCACCCCCCTACCCACATCCACAGGCTTCAGGGGTGAGAAGCCACTCCTCAGACCCAGGACTCTTCCTCAGGTGAGGGTGGAACTTGACCAAGCTGCTGAAGCCCCAGGCCCTCTGAAAGCTGAGGGCTGCTCTCTAGAGGGGCCGCTGGCTCTTTCCTCTCCTTTCCTTCCTCCTCCTCCCCTGCCCAGGCTCTGTCCACCTGGGCTGCCTCCCCTCCCTTGCTACCCAGCACTGTTGCTCTCGCCAGCCTACCCCTAGTGGGCACCCTGGCTGGACCCAGGCAGAGGTAGGCCAGGGGCTTAGGGATTCTTGAAGGCTGTTTCTCGGGCCTATGGTCTCTCCGGGGCCGAATTCTGGGTCTCAGCTTCAGCTTGTAGATCGATGGTACTCTCTGGGGCTTCCGGAGTGTTCTCTTGCCCTTGCCCAGACATGCCTTGGCTTTGTCAAAATTGGGGTTGAAGGCCGATGGTGTGGAGTCCTCCAGGCTGGCAGACACAGTAGAGGCTGAGCAGTCCTGCCCTCCTTGAGCTGGGACCCTCCTTATCCTGGTGCCCTTGGAACTCAGGCTTGCCTTTGTCCATGGCCCACTCTCTCTGGCTCCCAGTTTCTCTTTTGGGCTTCCTGGGCCTTCAGGAACAGCCAGCTTAGGGGAGCCTGTAGAGGCTGCCTTCCAGGCTCCCAGGTCCACTTTAATGAGGGGTGGCGGGCCCTGAACCAGTTCTTGGATGACTTTGTCATAAAGACCCCCAGGCTCAGGCCACTGCCCACCCAGGCTGGGGACATAGACTCCACTACGAGGGATGACTCCAGACCTTGGGCTCTGGGAATGAGCAGCCCCCACCTTTAGCAGCTTCACATTGGCCAAAAGCTCCTCCTCAAGGCTATGGTAGGATTGCTCCTTGGTCCCTTCCAGGGGTAGGGGAATGTACCTTTCCTCCTGGTCTTGTGGGCCCGGGCCCAGGGACTCTCCAGCCTCTGCTGTCACCCAGATATCTAGCTTCTGGTCTCCTTGCCTCCCTCCCACAGAGCAGTTCTCAAGTCTAGACCCAGCCAGGGTCCCAGTGATGGCCCTTAGTGGGGTGGAGCTTCTTCCCTGTTCTGTTGTGGGACCTCCACTTGCAGTACGTGGAAAACTTCTTCCTGGAGTTGGGGGTTGGGCAGGGGACCTCCAGACAGGGATTTTGGTGAGTCCTTTCACAGGGGATGGAGAACGAACAGATGCTGGCTCCCTGAACTGGGAGGAAGTGCCCTCAGCTTCGCCCCGGGGTGGCTGCCTGGAGCCCATGGGCTTGGCTAAGCTGGAGTAGTGAGGCAGGGGAGATGGTCCTCTTGCTGGTGTCCCTTTGGCAGTGGCCTCAGGAGCTCGGAGTCTCTGAGGAGTGGGGGCCCTGGCATGGGTTCCCTGGCGGTCTGTCTCCTCATGAAGCCAAGGTGTAGGAATCCTTCCCCTGGGAAGTTCAGGGGGGTGTCTGTCCTCTCTCTTCCCTGAGGACATGCACTGTGGGTCTTGGCCTCTATATATAGGTAAAGATTGTGGACCGGGTGGGCTGTCCCCAGCTGGCAGCTGCCTCTGAGATGGGGTGAGTGGCTTCTCCTGGCACCTGAAAGAGAGAATCATAAGGCTGGTAGAGTCATCTAACCCAGTCCCTGGCTCTGGAAAAAGATAGCTTTCCCCAGACAGAACTCCAAGGGGTCCAGACTTCATGCTGAAGGAAACAGATGCTCCCTCTCTCTCTCTCTCTGCACCTGCCCAAGAGTCTTCCTTATGGAAGGTACTTGTTAAATTTATTCTCCCTCATTCACCGTGTAGGGTTACTGCAAATCCCACAACTACAGGTCACCAGTCTTGGGTGACAGGGGGTCTTAGTGTCTGCTTTACCATGAAATGGAAGAAGGACCTTGGGTAAGTCTGTTCGCTTTATGAGATTCAGCCTCCTCCTCATCTGTGAAATGGGAGGGCATATGAAGTATGTAACTAGATGATGCCAAAGGTACTGGACGCTTTTTTGGTTCTGAACACCTGAGGCCTTGCTGGGGTAGAGGCACTGCTGAGAGACCGCTCCCTTTGTCTTGAGTGTGGACTCCAACGAAGAAAGAGCCCCTTCCCTGTCCCTTCCCTGTACCTCAGGAATGTTGCTGTCTCTCTGAGCACCCCTGCCCCTGCTCCCAATTCACTGCAGGGTCTGGAGGAGGAGGAGGTGGGGGGCTTCAGCTTTCTGCCTGAAGAGGTATATGTCTTCCAGTCCACAGGGGACAGTGGGCTCTGGGAGCGGCTGATGGTCATCGTAGGCTGTAGCTGCGAGGGCTCATCCTGCACCCTCACTTCATGCTGCACCGGTGGAACTGGGGTCTTCAGGGAGCTGCCTACCTTGTGTGCTACCAAAACAG